CCCCAAAACCCCAAAACCCCAAAACCCCAAAACCCCTTTTGAATCGAAATAAGTTGAAGAGTGTGTATCTTACACTATAGTTTATTGTGAGCCGTTAGGGCCTCTGGGTGAGATCTAGACACTGATTCATCAGTTTGATCTGACTGAGGACTCTGGTCACTCAAACTCTCAGAACTACTATCACCCTGAGCTGACTGGGCAGGCTCACTGACTATTCCATCTCCTTCTGTTGTTTTGGCGTTCAGGTTGATCGGAGTTCTTCTTGCGAGTGGAATTCTGTTTTTGTACATTATGTTTAGCAAACTAAACTCATCTTCTAATTGTGCATCTATAAGTGTGAACATTGCAACCATCGTTAATTACTTGAGCCTGAAATAAACTTGGCAAGTTTGTGGAACAACACTCCTGTCATCATTGCATCATAGCCTGCTTCGTGACTTGCGAGAGAGTTGAACTCATACATTGCTTCGTGGTCCGGGACTTTTTGTCTGATTTCATCAGCAATCTCGATGTGGTCGCTAGTGTGAAACCAAGAACTTACTTAGGACTGAAGTGTTCGCTGTTCATAACGATCTGGTAGGCTTGACCCAGAGATGTCATTCTCTGGTGAGCGAAGTGGCTTGACAAGCTTACACAGCTCTTCAGAATGTACTTGGTGTCGTACAAGTTCGGAAAAGCCTCTGAGAAATTCTGTTTGAATGCTGAGGTGTCAGATGGAAGTCTATCAATAAACTTGTCGTACAAATGCAAACAGTCGATCATACCATTGTGGGTGATAATAGGTTTGTGCAATTCCGACAGCAAGCTGACAATGGACTTTTCTCTGTGAGGAAATGAGTTTACGAGTTGTTCAGATAAATATTCGATGGGTCTTCAAGCTTCATTTTGAGTCAGAATGGTTTCAAGTTTGATTTTGTCTTCGATCAGTAAATTCTTAAGCTGCAGTCTGAGTTCTTGTGGTGAGTCATCAGGAAGGATTTGAATGACATCTTCATAAACTTGTGTATCTGTCATATTCCTCAATTTCTTAAAATTAAGATACTGCTGCAAGTTCCTGTACAAAGAATTCCTCAATTTATCATATTTATCTATTTCATCTTGATCCTATACTTTACTTTAATTCTTACCTTCTCAGTCTCTACTATTTTAACTTTGAGGTAAAGTTCTTTTGTAAAATTATCAGAAATAACTTCAGTCTCAAATTTTTTTCTATAAAATAACAGCCTAAATGATACCCTTCTGCTTCAATATTTGGAAACATTCTATATTACTCTTAATCTCAATTTACTTGGGCAACTTCTTGCTGAGAGCATGGAAATATTTATAAGGGGTAAGTGTCAGGTTGATCTTGAGCTCATTTTCTTCCCCAATGTTCCCATCCTTCATACTCTTCAAGTACCAGTCTCTGATTTCGATAAATTTAGAGTTGCAGTAAATAATTGCATCGTTGCTAAAATACTCTGCGTTTTTAAATTCCTCATTATCACTGTTGAGAATAGCATTTCTTGTAGCTTCTTCATAACGCTGATACTCTTTCTCTGGGAAGAAGCCTACTCCTTCATAGATCCACTTGTTAAAATCAAAATTATGCTGTGCAAGGAAATTAAAAGATCCCACATTTGTGATGAAAGAACTCCGATGTGCTGGGTGATCCAGGGGGTAAATGTACATATTATATGGATAACACAGAAGCTTGCCGCCTTCGTACTTAAATCCACACACTCCTAGTTGAGTTGGGATCATTTTGGATGCTAATTTTTACTAGTTATGCTTACCACTTGTCTTTTGTTTCCAATAAACCACATCCATGCAGTCATCATAATTATTCATTAATTTCTCATCTAAAGGCCACAATCAGCTCAAGAATATTTAAAGATCGTTCCTAGTGGAATCCTCAGTTTCCGGTGCATTTGTCTTACCAGAGTGGATGCCAGTGAACTCGAAATCAATAGCGATGAAATCACTATTGCGCAAAGTATCGAACACGAAGGGAATGTGCTTCTTGTAATTGAATTTAGTAAGATTCATATTTGGATCTAAAAATATTATATTTCAGCCTAAAAGGAGGGTTTTGGGGTTTTGGGGTTTTGGGGTTTTGGGGTTTTGGGG